TCCTATCCATGTGAACATGTTTTAGGTGGGGGGTGGACCTAACCTCCTCTAGGAGGGTCTGGGGGCATGCTCCCCCGGGAAGATTATTTTTAAAATATTGAAGTTAAAAGCATCAATCTGGTGCACTTTGAGAGCAAAATGAAAAGATCTATGGATACATCTCTCAACATCCATATGAAACAGAACTGTAAACAGATTTACTTTTTCTTTATGGATATTTTACTAATCACTCCCCTTTTAAATGGTATTCTTGTGTTATTGTCCTATAGTATTTCATACCCGTTTTTCATTTATTCTCTTATTCTTTAATAACTATAATGATCATATAAAGGTAGCCTATTCCTCGCAGATACTTGTTTACATAAATGGTCACCAAACGGTTTGAGACCCACTAACTTACACTAAAGTGAACTATCTAAACACTGAGAGTCCTTTACCTCACTGAGCTGACGTTATAAGATCCTCTCAGTCTGACAGGAGAGGACTCTCCTCCACCTTGGTGTAGAAACAGCTCTTTATATCCGTTAGCATAGCTAGCTAACCAGATGCTAACAACAATATTCCACGTTACCGCTCGCGCACTGACAAAATGCGCTCGTGCCACACACAGAGAGCCGAGCTTGAATGAAACACAGAGACCCATGTACTTGTACTGTACTGTATATCATATTATTTCCGATGGCTTTACTGTATAATCAGTATAACAGATGGACAGATCGCCACTGGGCTTTCATCTAAACACACAGCCACGTAATGATAACAAAACAAAAGTCGGGGTCATTGGTCAAGCAACACACCAATCAGAGAGCAGCAGTGAGCACACCTCAGGCTGTATTTCATATAAAGAATAAATAAAGAATACAAATGTGTATTCTTTATTTCTGATGTATTCACACAAAAAACTTTTGGTGGAAACGTTTTAACTTATATGATTAAAAAAAAAAAAAACGGCAAAGTGGCAATAAGGCTTGCCCACCCTGCGTTGGGGGGGGCACAGTGACTAATTTGGGGGGGGCATGGCCCGCGAATGACCCCCCATGACGCCGACCCTGATCCGGAGGCATACCTGGACATCTTTGAGGGCACAGCGGCGGCGTGCGGGTGGCCGGAGGAGGAGTGGGCAGCGCGGCTATTGCCTCTGCTATCTGGGGGTGCGCAGCTAGCCGCCCACAGCCTGCCAGCAGCCTCTCGGCATGTGTACCGGCATTAGAGGAAGGCCATACTGGACCAGCTTTGCAGCATGCCAGAGGGACATCGCCGCCGGTTCCGGGCCCTCCCCTTCGAGGACGCTGACCGGCCCTTCTCCTACGCGCAGCGGCTCCTGGATGCAGCGAGCCGCTGGCTCCAGCCGGGGGTGCGCTCCGCTGAGGAAGTCGTCGGGCAGGTGGCGCTGGAGCAGTTAATCGCCGACCTGCCATCTTCGACGGCGAATTGGGTCCAGTCAGGGGCGGATCTAGACAAATATTCATGGGGTGGCAAGAGGGTGGCAGGAGATTTTGAGGGGTGGCATCCCCTGACAGAAGTATATGCTGATTTAAATCGCAATCATATCAATCAATTAGGGGTGTAACGGTACCCGTACTGAAATTATTCGGTACGGGCCCTTCGGTTCAGTACACGTGTGTACCGAACGAATATAGCGTTAAACGTAAAAAATTGAGAACATGAACAACTTTCTGGAAGTAATCTCAGGTATATATCATAGAGCGAGCAAGTCATTTCATTGGACGAGAGGCATACTATGAGAGCTGGTCACAGGGATGCGTTCAAATGTAGTCAGTAATTTGAGGAACTATCGAAATGGCGAACGCAGATAAAGTTGAGCTACCGCCATTTCAGCTTGTCTGGCGCCCAAGACGAAAAAAGAGGTCAGGAGGTTCATGGGGCTGGCCGGCTACTACAGGCGGTTCATCCCGTCCTTTTCGGAGCTGACCAGTCCCCTGACCGACCTGACCCGAAAGGGTGCTTCAGATCCGGTTCAGTGGACGGAGCGGTGTCAGCTGGCGTTTGAGAGGGTTAAAAAAGCCCTCTGTGGTAAGCTGCTTCTGTATTCTCCTGACTTCTCTCTCCCTTTTGTGTTGCAGACCGACGCCTCGAACAGTGGGGTGGGGGCCGTTTTGTCCCAGCAAGTAGAGGGGGTCGACCGCCCCGTACTGTACATTAGCCGTAAGCTCACCCAGAGGGAGGTGAACTACAGTACGGTGGAAAAGGAGTACCTCGGGGTCCCGGCCTGAGTCGGGCGGTGGGGGTATCTGTTTTGCAGTAGGCGGGATCCTGGAAGGTGGCAAAAGGACCTGTGAAGGTTGCCACACGGGCAACGTTGGAGACCCGTGGATACTTTTGTTTGGAGCTAATAAACGCCTGTGTTACACGAACCTGCTCTTTCCGTCCATATTTGAACCCTGTGTGAGCGGAGAGGCTCACAGACACCTTATTAAAAAGGAATTCATCTCCGAGTACTTTTGGCCGATCTCTTTTGAATATTAAGAGCAGAAAAACGTCTCGATTTAATTTCCTGGCTTATTAGAACTCTGAGGATTTGATGTTTTTTTTTAGGATACACTGAATATTTTAGTCAGGTAAAACAAGCAAATTGAATATGTCACCTGGTGGATATGGCAAATGGTCAAAGCCCTTTCTCTATACTTATTATTACTGGCCTTTTAAAAAAGAAACTGCTCATTGATTCTGTAAAAAAAAGATCAGAGAATAAAAGTAATTATCAGTTGCCATCCCATATGAAAAACACAAGATTTGAAATAAAGTACCTGGATTAGAAATAAATCTGAAGAAGAAAGGAATGAGAAAGGCCAATAGAACAAAAAATGATAAATACAAATGATTCAAAACCAACAGCAAAGATAAACAAGGTTAAATAGAACTTAAAGACATGAAATATTTTTTCTAGATGAATGTCATTGTTTTAAACCTGAGAGGCTATCAAAAGGGAGATGGAAACATTGAGTCATAGGGATAAACCCATTTTCTTTCTTTTTTTTTACAAAGACCGAGGCTCTTTGACAGGCAGTTACACAGCAGCACCAAGGTTACTCACTCTTGGCAAAGGAGTGAGATCAGAGCAAGGAAGAAGGACAAAGTGGATTATGGGAACAGGAAAGATCAGTTGGGGCGATAAGCTTATTGTCCTCCCTTTCAGCGCAGTACGCCACAGCAGTATAAACTCACAAAGGCAAAAAGCCATGAGCGCTACATTCAAACACACAGCATCATATCAGAAAGCATTATTGATTCATCTACACACACACACAGGCATCTCACAAATATGCAATCATCCATGTACACACACACACACACCCGCAAAGTCATTTAGATTCAATGGTGCGTTGGGATCAGAAGCATCAGTAAAAGAAGCCTTATGCTACATACTGTAGGCTCAGTGTGATTTCCAACAACATCATGATAGCTAAAGGGAGTGAAAATCTCAAGAGAACGCCTACTGTATATGATCCTCACTTCCTTTTCCCAGGATGCCACAGTATTGCATGCCATCGTCTATATGTTCCCTTCACTGCAGATAATCCGAGCTGCATGTATGTGCAATTAAATGTGCACATTAATTATGGGCTCAGAACAGTCTCATAATACACACATGCACACAAGGATTCACACTTGTATTTCATGATCCGCAAAAGGATTCACACTTGTGTTTTTCAATGCACACACAAATGTGTTCCGTTTCATAAACGTACATGTAAATAAAATCCAAATACAGAAAAAAGTTTTACATATGTATTTTTGATCCTCACATATTTGTTTTCCGTTTAAATTGCCTGAACCTGCAAACACAAACCGCTTTCTGTGCACGGATCGCTGTGTATTCGTTTGAGACTACCCTGACGGTCAGCCGATTCGTACATGTAATTTTTTCTATCTATAGCCAATTAGATGTCTCCTCCAGTCTAAGCCAATCACATGAGCGCGCCCCCACGAGGGTATGATTTATTGCGTTCATGACACACAGGGCCGGCCCTGACCAATTTGCCGCCCTAGGCGAGATTTTAGATGGCGCCCCCCCCCCCCCCCCCAAAAAAAAAAAAATTCCAATGTTAATAAAATCACACAGAAGCTGTATATGTTTTTTGGGAGATTTTTTTATTTTAACACAAATACAACATTAAAACCTATAATTGCAGTCAGCAGCCTCGCCAACACACCAGTGCTTTCTAAAGGCCTATTCACACATGGCCCCTCCACTTGCTCCCTGCTGAGGTCAGACAGGGCAACAAGTTGCTCCTCTGCTGACAGGCACACAATCCACCTGTACTGATATACAGTCCGTGAGAGACTAATTGCCTCACCTTAAGAGCTGGATGTGTAAGAAGTACAACCCAGAAACATTTACTAATTTAAAACAAAAGCTGCTTTGCTGAACACTTAAATATACTACTTCTGGGTACCGAAATATTTGCTATCAATCACTTCAGTCTTGGTTAAAAGCAAGATTTAGCCAAAATCCAACCATTAAAATACTACAGGCCTCAATCTCACACCTCAACACCTTACCTTAGCCTGACTCTCCTTGCCTTTCTTGAAGCAAAATGATCTATGACATCATCATAAGACAGCTGTTTTAAGACCACATGGTTGATGCTTATGATGGATAGTCCACTGAGACGTTCTTGTCCCATAGAAGCTCTCAGGTAAGTTTTGACCAGTTTGAGCTTTGAGAAGCTTCTTTCAGCAGCAGCCACTGTAACAGGAAGAGTGGCAGAGATTATCAGAGCAACCCACAAATTGGGGTACATTTCTGTCAGCTTCTTCTCATGAAGGAAGGTCAATAGTTCCATGTTTGTCATCTTCTTTGATGGCAAATGTGGAACATTTTGCATTTCTGCAGCAAGTTCCCTGACATCAATGTCTGGTTGTTCATCATGGGTCAGAGCAGAGCTCAGGGTTTGACAGTGCTTTGGCAGTTCTTCGTTTGATGTGGTGGGAAAGTTGATGAGCACTCCAAACTTGTCATTTACCTCTTCAAGGTGCTAAAATCTCTCATCAAGTGAAGAGAGGGCTGTATCCACAACCACATTAAAAAATGTGATTTCCATTTTTGTAAGTGCATCATCAATAGGCTCATCTGGAGACTCATAACCAAATTGCCGTTTTGTGGATCTCAACCGCTTTTGTTTGAGAACAGACTCCACGTTCATCTCCTCACACATCTCCTTTGCAGTTGTCTGCGCATCAGAAAATCCAGTCCTTCTGTAGCAGGTGAGGGAATCTCCTGTTTTCTTCAGCAGGTCGACAGCGACATCTAACTGCATGGAGGGTGACTGCATCAGTTTGCTCACATGCTGGATCTTGTAGAGGATGTCATACCATATGGTTGTGCAAATGATAAAACGGTAAGATCCAATCTCCTCAGCCAAAGACTGGGCTTCAACTCTCACCACAGGGTCTGCAGTTGTTTCCCTCACCTCCAGAAGAGCCTCTCTGATTTGCCCAGCCTGGTACATTACTGCCTCAACGCTTTTTATCCTGCTTTCCCATCTGGTCTCTGACCACGATTTCCGGGTTGTTTTGACATGTTTCAGCAGGATGTCCCATCTATGCGTGGAGGCAGAGAAGAGTTTGTACAACTTTGTTAAATAGCCAAAGTAGCCTATAGCATCTGGTGAGCTCTTTGCAGCATCAGCTACCACCAGATTTAAGGTGTGAGCACCACAAGGGACAAAAAAAGCTATTGGGTTCTGCTGAAGCAACCTAGCCTGAACACCTTTATTCTTACCCTTCATGTTGGCACCGTTGTCATACGACTGTCCTCTGCAGTCCTCAAAGGGGATGTTAAGGTCCTCCAGCCTTTTGAGAATGAGCAATGTCAAACGTTCCCCTGTTGACTGCTCTGCCACAAGAAAGCCCAGGAAATGTTCTTTAACCTGTGGTTTGTCTTCTAGCGATACTATCCTGACAATAACAGAGAGTTGTTCTTTATGACTCAGATCAGGAGTGCAATCCAAAATGATGGAGAAATACTTACACGTTTTTATCTCTTCCACAATTGTGTCCAGTATTTTAGAGCTGATTGAGTCAATCAGTTCATTTTGAATTATTTTGCCCATATAATGTGTGTGACTGCCAGCTCCACTTGCCACCCTACCAACATGCTGCTTTATGACTGGATCGAATTTGCCCATAAGCTCCACTTCTTTTAAAAAGTTGCCATTGTCTGGTTGGTTTAATGTGTCTGTGGACCCCCTCAGAGCCAGGTTTCTCTCTGCTAAGGACTGAATTATTACCACGAATCGGGTGAGAACGTCGCGCCACCTATTTCTCTCAGCCTGAGCAAGGGCCATCTCTTGCATATCTATTGTAAGCCCCCTGGCAAGACGGACGTCTAACTCCTTCCATGTTGCCATGTTTGTGTTGTGCTCCTTGCTTTCTTCATGTACCTTGAGCAAGTGACTTGCATTTTTCCAGTCCTTTAGTCCTTCCCTATTGAGTATGTAATTTCTCTGTGAAAACATTTTGCAGCAGAAGCAGTGCAAGCTATCATTCTTTTTTGAATACATCAACCAGCTTATTTGGATTTTTTCTCCGTTGATTAAGACTCTGTTAAAATAGTCTTGCTGACACCTTCTCCCGTCTTTTTGTTTGGGAAAAATAAAACTAGGTTTCATTTGATATGGTCCACTCTGAACAAACTCTGTCCTGTCATTATCAGTAAGAACAGATGGCCAGTCGGCAGGGTCTATTGGTGAAGCCTTTATCCCTGATGCTGTATCACTTGGCTCTGCTGAGGTGGAGGGGACAGGAGCACTTGATGCTGTATCACTGGGCTCTGCTGAGGTGGAGGGGACAGGAGCGCTTGATGCTGTATCACTGGGCTCTGCTGAGGTGGAGGGGACAGGAGCGCTTGATGCTGTATCACTGGGCTCTGCTGAGGTGGAGGGGACAGGAGCGCTTGATGCTGTATCACTGGGCTCTGCTGAGGTGGAGGGGACAGGAGCGCTTGATGCTGTATCACTGGGCTCTGCTGAGGTGGAGGGGACAGGAGCGCTTGATGCTGTATCACTGGGCTCTGCTGAGGTGGAAGGGACAGGAGCGCTTGATGCTGCAGGGCTGGGCTCTGCTGAGGTGATATGAGGCCCAAAAAATGTCAATAGTGCATCTGGAGAGAGAAGAGAAGTATATGTGACCATCAAGAGATGTATTATATTTGCTAGACCAAATTATATTATAGAAATCAGAAAACAGGAGCAGCTCACAAAATAATTAGAATATCATGGAATATATTGCCTCCATGTAGAATTGATGCATTTATCTCTGCAAAAGGAGCCCCGACCAAGTACTGAGTACATATTTGAATAAACTTTTCAGAAGATCGAAATATCTGTATTATAAATCCTTATCTAATATTATACTAGATACAGGATTATTGATTTTCATGATCTGTAAGCTGTATTAATCACAATTAAAACAAAAAAGGTTTTAAATATTTCACTTCATGCATAATGAATCTAGAATATATGATTAATTTGTTTTATTAAATTAAAGAAAAACAGTTCTATTATATAGTTATTCTTTTAGATGCACCTGCATATTCTGCGACTTACCAGATGGCAAAGAAGCAGCTACATACATTGTAATATAGCATATTAAAGATAAAGGCTAAGGTATGCAGTATTTACAGTAGTGACAAGCAATATCAGTATTGTCATACTGATATTTTGTACAAACTGTAAAGTCCACTGAGACAAATGTAACATTTGTGATATTGGGCTATATAAATAAACATTGATTGATTGATTGATTTTAACACTGATGTAAACGTTACACTATTGATTATTGAACATACTTTAGACAGCATAAACTGTAAGGCAATACAATTAAAGGCCTACAACTATAAATTATTGAGGGGATGTAAAAGGAATAGCATTTTAATGACTATCATTATTAGCCTATTACTACAAGCAGGGCAAACATTGGCTCACCTCAACAGATATAGTAGATGATATATAGCAGGTGATGTAACTCTTTCCAAATGTCCCTGAATTTAAGGTGGGAGTAACGGTAATAATTGACGTTAACTCTAAATGTAACTATTGATTAGCAAACAAACGACCTTGCTATCGTCTAAAAGTAAGCTAGCAAGTTAAAACTGTTGCATCAACGGTAACTACAATCAATTTTTTGACTTTGTTTAATCATCATCACATTAACGTTACTGTACCTTTGTCTTTCTCCCGTCTGTCCTCCTCCTCTTTTCTTTTCTTTCTTCCCTGGGCGCCAGATAACTTTGTTCTTTTCGACATGCTAATTACCGTCTTTGTTTTCTTCCCCCGAGTCACAGCAGGTCAAAGGCGGCGGGTCAAGTGTCAGTCAGTGACACTTGACCCGCCCCCCTCGCTCCTTGAGGACATAAACAGCCTGCGGGGCTGGGGCAGTTCAATTTACCTGAATTAGGGGGGGGGGGGCCATAGTGCAGTGCTCTGTACGCAATATAGACGTAGTTCTGTTAAGATAAGATAATAAGATGTACTTTGTTGATCCAAAATCGGGAAATTGTTTTATTTAAAAAAATAATAATCACAATTACATTATTTATTTTTTTAATAAATATATATATTTCCCCCAATTTTCAGCGCCCCCCTGGCTTGATGCGCCCTTAGCATTCGCCTATACTGCCTATGCCAAGGGCCGGCCCTGAGCACTTCATATACGCATTTTGCGCTGTCGGGTCAGCTCGCTAAACAGAGGGCGGAGCTTCAGGTGATCATGCAGAGCTGCGTGTCTCCGTCAGACTCAGCAGCTGATCTGATCTCTCTCTCGCGTCCGGTTATACTTCACTCGCGTTTATGTCCATATCGATCAGATCCAGCCTCCTGATGGGCCTTTATAGAGAGCACCGATCAAACTATTAAGAGTGAATATCGGCCGATAATGACCGGCGGGCAGGGGCGGCGGGTACTGTAGGCTAGGGAAGGCTAAGCCTTCCCAAATATTTTTGTCACATCCTAGTAAAATAAAAATATCATGTATAATGTTTGTGTCTTTGACATTAGCGCTGCTATGCAGCCACCTGTGCCATGTTCTACGAAGCCAGTTCAACAGATCCTGGATATGTTCGAGTTATCTTAACTAACCCTAACAAACGAGATTTCGCTAAGCGGTCCTACGCATGGTCCTACGACGCTGGTTATCAACTCGGTAAATCAAGCCAGGGTTTCTCTTTCCAGCTGAGAGCGCGTTCAAGTGAAAGGGGCGGGGTTAGCAACAGGGTCATTTTTTTTATAGGGTGCCATTTGGACTTCACAAGTTGGGTGAAATAAATAGTTGATTTACCTACTTTTTAATGTTCTATTCTATAAAGGACATATCTAATTTGCTAAAAAACATTTTGGTCAAGCTCAGGCACCTAAATCTTTATATATATAGATATATTAACAACACGTGACACCCAGGATATGTCCACCCTGTTAAGGACATACACATAACTGCTTAAATGAGTTTTCAGTGCATTCTTACAATTAAAGTGACTTTTTAACAAGAGTTGTATGTCCCTAACTAATTAGATATATATTTCATACCTAATTAGTTTTAAGTAGTATATATTGAGAAAAACAAGTGTAGATGATGACAACGTGGCATATTTTTCCACTGTTTTTCATGAGAAAACTTAAATACAATAAGAATTACTAAAAGTTTCTAGAATATATAATCAACCTCTCTCATTTCTTTATAAAAGTACAAATATACACTTGATATTTGATATTTTCATTAAACTATGCTAGAAAAATACCAACATAACAGGGTGGACATACGTCTAACAGGGTGGACACCAGTGGAAGTCCGTCAGGGCCTTCAGGACCTTCTCTCCAGGCCCTATCATTTTAAAGTGTAATTTTTGGTTAAAATATTACAGTATTAATTCTATTGTTAAAACAATCTTTTATATTAAATTATTAAAATTGTTTGAATATATCAAATCGTTTTGGTTTGATATACCCACTAATTGGAGCTGGAGCTGCAACTTTGTGTATCTGCCTTTGCTTCTTCATAAGGCTATCTCCGTCCCAAAGGTCTGCTGTGTCTGTGGTTGCAGGGTTTTCTTATAGAATGTGTACTTTAGAGTAGCAACAAATATTAACAGAATTAAAAAAATATATCAGAATTTGATTTGGGGTCTTTGGTACACCCCTAGGACCTGTGAGCAAGTCTGTGTGATGTCATAATATTTTCCAGCTGTGGGGCACGTAGGCTATTGCCCTATGTTGGAGACTGAGGAAAATGGCAGCTAATGAAGAAGACAGTAATTTGCTTCATAATTCATTTATTCAGCAGAATTTCTAATAAAAAAAATCACAGAAAAAGAAAGGCCAACACCAAAACTTGGAGGGCTCAAACAGGTAGGCAAAGGCTTTATGAGGCACTTTGCTGAGGCCAACTATAATCATGCTCGTTTTTTGCCACCACCAGTGGCTTGTGGAACACCACTGGGTTTGGTAGCCTGAACACCTTAACCAAGAGCTCTGATCATCGTGCATAACTTCGAGTACATTTTTAGTTTACATAAAGTTATTTTCTAGGTACTTCCATGTAAGCTTCTCAAGTTGGACTGAGCGCTTGTTGAGTGCCTTTGGCTCTGGTATAAGACAGAGAAGTTGTTCCTCTGCATACCAGCTGACATCTTCACGTGGTCTTGGCCAGAAGTATTTGTTTACTCCATTTCTATGCATGCACTTCACTTGAATGCTATCGCCCTCCACGTCCATGATGATGCCAGGGTACACATCATCGTCATACTTAATGACGCACCACCCTCCAATGTGTGTGCTGTCAACTGCCGCTGGTCGCCATGGGGTCTCTTCATTCTGATTTGGGGGGGTCACAGGAACTCCATTCACAGTAGCTACTTTCAGGTCGAAGCAGGCACAATCCAGTGGACCATCCTGCCTCTGACAGAAACAACTGATGTCCCTGTACTTGATATGCCCAGGTAAGACGCTGATCACCTGGTGCATCCTCATTGTGCCCTTAATAGGTGTCAGAGCAGGGACCTGAGGTGAAAAGAGAGGATATACAGTAGTATGAGATATAATATTCAAAATATTTGGCCAATAACAATAACTATCAACGTATAGAGAGCCTCAAAATACTTGACTACTGTGAATGTTTTTGCAGGGGTACGGGGCATCTTTACCTCTGTTTTTGCTTCAACTTCCTCTTCACTGACAAAGAAGAGCTCCACTGTTGATTCCAGTCTCTTGAGTTTTTTGAAAAGAGTGATGGCATCTGGAACATCTTCCCCCAAGCGCACAATTCGGTCCGCTGACCGCTTCAATGTCCCTCCGATGCCATCTGGAGCTCCTTTGCCATGGCTGGCCTCAAAGAAATTCCAGGTCAGTTCTTTGAAACCAAGCCTGAATGGCTCAGTGGAGAGAAAGTAAAAGTTTCCCTTTTGCTTGTACTGGGTTGCCGGGCCATCACTGTAGAAGTGAAGCCTTTCCACCTTTGGACACTTGGTCTTCACCATCTCCAGGACAGGCTCCAGGTGGGCCCAGATCGCTGGTGGGTCATGTCGTCGTGAGGATGAGATTGAACAGAATGACAGTGGTGTCTGTTCAGTGGTGTACAGTACACCAGTGTGCAGCGTTGCCTGTTGATGGGACCCTCCAAAATGCACAGACTGGATCTCGTTGTGATATTTGCAAGAGTAATTTTCGCTGAAATCGATGTGGATTAAGCACTCGTTGGCTTGGAGGCTTTCCCGTAGCTGTCTGTAAGCACTGTATTGCCACCTGATGTTAAAAAGGTGCTTACGGAATTTGAATAGATTCTCTTGAAATTTGCTGACCAGGTCTGATTCAGTGCTCTGGACCTCTTTTTTAAGCGTAATGGTCTTCCTCTCTTCCTCACCTGTCCTTTCAGTAGACCATTGTACAACTTGTACAATTTCCTCTGTGGCTGATTTCAGGGTTGGGTGAGTGGTGAGGCGGCACTCTACACAATCACCATAGGCGCACGCTTTCATTTCTGTGGCACAGACAGTGCGGTCAACCATCTCCTCAATATTCTTGGAGATGACAATCCCATGGCTGTAGAGGGTGTCAGCCATGAACTGGAGGTTTTCATGGGTTTTACACTGGCACGTGGCCCGATCAGCATCAGTAGGGGCCACGACCCAAAATGGCCGACATGCACAAAAAAGACAGTACGTTGTCTGAGTTTTCGGATCCAAATTTCCTGTGAAGGTTCTTGAGTGTGTCAGAAAGCAGTCGCTTCTGCATCTTCTTCTTCCTCACTGTGATGGTCTGCTTGCGCCCAGTTGTCATACGACTCACGTCATCACGAAGAAAGAAGGTATGGATACTGGCTTTACTTTCTAGACTCCTTGAACTCTTCTTCCTCTGAAAAGTATTAAGGTCTGCATCCCTGTCCAACATCCCCCTCTTCTTGGAGAATCCAAGAGCCCTGAATGCAAATGACTGCAGTCTGTACTTTTTTAATAGCCTACCACATGTCACTTTGGCTATTGTTTGCTTCACCCTTTCTCTTCTTGAGGCTTTGTATGTTTGAGCTATGTCCGCAACTAGGGCAGACTGAAAAATAAGGCTCTTACGAACATGTGGAGAAACCCTCTGATCATGTAGCATCCTATTCACCAATGCACGTGGGGATGAGGAGCTTTTCTTACACCGTAAAAATCTTTTTTTATACTTTTCTTTGTTTCTTATCTCTCTATCCAGCTTGGCCTTTAAAAAGGCTAGCTCCTGTTGGAGTCTTCTCCTTCCATTTCTTGCCCTCTTTTCCCCTTGAAGGCGCTGCCTAAACACAAACACACACACAGCGAAAGCAAACATAATAAGTCCTTATAAACAGCTCAAAAAGTGTTAAAAACTGTGTATTGTGTTCCATATGCCGAGTACATTTCCTATAAACTTGCACTAACCTTAAAGGCCCTGGTTCTGGTTCTGACTGACTCTCGGGAGTTGCAGAGGAAGTGCTGAGGGAATCCCTGGCTCTGGAAACGTTGGCCCTCGCGGCTTTCTTTGCCTCCCTCCATTTCTTCCTTTTTGCCCTTTTCTCCCTCTCATAGACCTCATTAATACCCATCTTTATGCCTTTCTCTCTGTCCCTCCTCCATTTCTCTCTCTCTTTTTCAAGGTATTGCTGTCTTCTCTCTGGGTCAGCATCACGGCGTGCTCTGTAGTACCGCTGTGATTCAGCTGCACTTATCGGGGGTGCCATTCCTATACAAATGCATACCATTACTTTAAGTACTATACCTATAATCCTTGTGTACATAATATACTAGATAATATACCCATCAGTGTTTCCCTAGGATTTTTTGCAGCAGTTTGTGTTGTGCCTATAGATCTAATGGTGGTGATAATTTATTATATTATAAAAACATTATTATAATATTATAATAGTAATATAATAATATAACAATAAATAATATAATATTAATATAATATTAACAAATGTTGTAATAAGTAAACAATACTTACATGTCCACCCTGTTAGGATGTTGTCCACCCTGTTAGTTGAATAAGCCTAACAGGGTGGACACTAACAGGGTGGACATTTTGAGCAAAAGTTAGCCTTTACCCTGCCTGTGTTAGCATATTTGCTAGCATGACCTTGGATACTTTATGAGGAATCAATCACTTTTTAAAGGAACTTTTTTAAATAATAGAATTCGATTAATATCCTTCATACTTAGGCCTAACAGGTTGGACATGTTATGTTCAAACACATCAAACAAAATTGACAGAAACATCCAAATCAGTTGTAAGAGCAGTAGAAACCCACACAGCTTACCTCAGTTGAATTTCCCGCCTCTGGTGTCATTTAATTTCATAGGTGTGATGTCACTGAGAAATATGTATTTTTCTTAAAGGGACAGATACACAGCTCAACAGGGTGGACAGCGACCCTCGGGGACAAACATTAAACCTTTTTTTTTTTTTTACAATTTGAATAAAAACATTATTTGATTAGATAGATTTTGACAAGTTAAATAAAATAATAATAACATATTTATAAATTAATTTAGTTTTTAATAGCTATATTTTAGATCTAAGTTGAATGACCAGCAGTGGGGACATGGAAAAACTCCTCGATATCCCTTTAACCAATGCTTTTAAAATGAAAAAAAAAACTTAGATGTGCATATCATTGTATTAATAATAAATTAACAATTGAACACACATTAAAAACAAAATGTAATTAGTATTTGTCCAGATTTAGACAAAAAACAACATATTTTGTACTGGGGACACCAAAGGCACCACATAAAAAAAATGACCCAACATTTGACCAATCACAAACAAGTGTACTGACAGCGCAGCGTCATACTTCAATAATGAAAAGTAAACTAATATTAGACAAATATGAACTTTAAACATCCATTACTTAAACATATAATCCAGGATACAAGCCACATAGTTGCACCTGCAAGGTGAATATAGAACAACTGGTTAAAAAATAAATAAACTAGGCCTACCGAGTGTTTGAAAGCGTATACACAGTTTTATGATATCACTGCCCCATCTAAGACACGAGTGGATCTGACTTTAATTACATTTGACTCGAGTGTTTCGTCAACTTAATGTGTTGCTTAAAATAATACTTCTGCATACAGTATGTGACACTGTGAGTGTTGCACGGCCAGATACGGCTGGAGAAGCTGACTCAGATAGGGAAATATACGACATATTATGATATTATATGATCGATGATCTGATTGATGATGTGATATCAGTGTGATATGAATGATAAGTGCGACACGTCGGCGTCTTCTCTGCAACGGCAGTTTAAACTGTATTTCCTTTATCCTGTAATATGACTTGATAGATTTAAACTCTGCACACTGAGCTCTGATTGGTCAGCAGGCGGTGCTTTCACTGAGTTGATCTATTTTCTATAGACGCTGGAGGCGGGCAGCGCCAGGTAAAAAAATGATTTAGCCTTCCCAAACCTGAGCCTCACGCGCCGCCTATGCCGGCGGGGCTCCCCCCCATCATGCCCGGCGCCGGGGGAGGGCCAGGCCCTCCCATTTGACATTCTTGCCCTCCCCCAATAAACACGATTTTTATTATTTATAAAAATTAGGAAAAAAAATGTTAAATTTTTTTTTAATAAATAAACTGTGAACTTTTATGCTACGATGTATGTGATGTCAGATAGTAACTAAAACAAAAATAATCGCAGGCTACGTCAAATAAATTCATGTGTCTGTTGTGATTTGCGATTCGTCCACATTTAGACCAATCACAGCGTCACACTCTGCCGCCTATTCTGGATTTGTTTATTGTGCATTCTGTAGACTCCAATTTATGTTTGAATTACACAATGGACATCAGAAATTGGCTCAAAAGGTCTAAGGATTTATTAAAACGAAATAGCGATGAAAGAACTGCAGCCGATGCAGCTGTTGGCGACCCTGCACCTGCCGTTGCAGCAGCACGCCTTAATGTCACAAGCTTGACCTCGGCAAACCCCGGGGCTGAGTTAGCGAGCCCAAGCCTTGACTCATCAAGGCGGCCGCCACCAACGCTGTCCTCCGAGGCACAGCTCCTTGTGCCCCTACCATCACCACCTGCGTTGCCACACCCTGTACCACACCCGCCAGCATCCTCCTCCTCCTGCTCCGTGCCGGTGCCTCCACAACAGACGCTACCTTGCAGCACATCAACAGGTACTATTGGGCCAGCAACCGCTCAAAGACCAACAGCCCCAGATGATCTTGGGGTTGATAAACCCTACCAGGTGAAACTGGATCGTTTTCCAGGGAGATTGTTTTCAGGAAAGAAGCGCACTTTTGCCACTGCATGGTACAACAACAGACCGGCTTGAATATTCGTTAAAAGCAGACGGAGCCTTTTGTTTCCCCTGTAGACAGTTTAAAGTCAATACGTCTTCATCTGATGCAGCTTTTACTGTAAAAGGTTTTTGCGACTGGAAACACGCATTACAGACTGATAAAGGACTGCTAAGACATGCCGCATCAAAAGAACACATGTCATGTGAGAGTGTGTGGAGAGAGAGACAGATACGCGAGGAAACAAATAAGGAAATTAGTACTTTGGTGCAGATCAGCTGGCACGGAACCGTTATTACGTGTCAGCTGTCGTTGATATTATAGCTTGTTTAGCTGTCAACCAACTCCCTCTCAGAGGTGACCACGATTCACTCCACAGCATGTCCGAGTCAGGCAGTGGGCTCTTCCTATCGCTGTTTGATACGCTGCACAAAGAGGCAGAGTTGGCCAAAAATATTGTTCTAAGTTAGCTCGGCTGAGCGAAAGGATGCACCTGCAGTGCATAGGAAAATAAACCATGCCCAAGGCAGGCTAAACAGTTCATCGTCTCCGTCTCTAGTAGGCTACTATTTCTTTCCGAGTGCAACGATGAGGAAGCTGCTATCCTTAACCAGTGTGTGCCTTGCTCGTGATTTACCAGTGTTTGTGCTGCCACGCACACAATGCTTCAAAAGTGGTTTCTATGTTGCCCTTTATTGTATTTGCGATAAGTGTGCGTCTTTACGCAATGCTGTTGGCCTTGCTGTTTGATATATATTGTGCCGCAGGCCCGCAGCACATGATGGTTTTGTGTGCCCTCCCATGAAAATCATATGCCCTCCCTTTAGATTTGTTCTGGCGCCGGGTCTGCCCCCCATTGACAGTTCACTGTCTAGCACTGGCTTCGTAGTGCACTGATCGATTAGGCTAAGCTAACCTGTAGCTGCTCCCTCCACACTCACAACAACTTCATACAGACATAAATAAAGAAGCTGTATTCGCCATACAGGAAACACAGCTTTAAAACTGTTTTGCCTGCCGTTTTTGTGTACTCAAGCATTCATCAATGGTTCGGAAAGTGGCGCTGTACCTTAATAATATAAAGGCTTGTATTTGCGTGCATTTCCTGTTCGGAAAGTGGCAATGTACTGAGAGTGGAGGTGTCCTGAGATTAGCGCCTGCAGGCAGGCTCCATGGACCTGTCAGCTCCGGACTGCGCAAAGAACGCAATAAATCATACCCTCGTAGGAGCGCGCTCATGTGATTGGCTTAGAATTGAGGAGACATCTGATTGGCTATAGATAGAAAAAATTACAAGTACGAATCGGCTGACCGTCAGGGGAGTCTCAAAAAACCGACACACGAATGCACAGTGTGACGACCCCTCCACACCGCGTGGGGTGCCGTCTGGTTGTGTGTGTGTGTTTTGTGTGTGATTGCAGGTTCCAGCTGTAGCTGTTTGATGAGGCGCACCTGCCGGATGAGCTACACCTGTTGAAACAGGATATAGGAGGATCCAGCTGGTTA